CTCGTGATTATTTATTGAATTTATGCAACAATAAAATAGCAGAGAAAGGCAACAGAAATTACTGTAAAACTTCAGATTTGATTTTAATGATGATTATCCCCTTGTTTAATTCTTTATGCATAAGTGATTGTTTTTAAATCCTCCCTGGGACCCTGCTTTTCCATAACAGGGTAATATTTTATTCTTGTCCATACTTTTTAGTTGTTTCCCTGCTCCAACACACCTGATTCAATGGTTGAATCACCTGTTCAACAGGTCATCAAGCTCTGCAGAATCCTGTTAATCACACTGATTCTAATCAGGTGAGCTCTAGAATAGACACCTCTTAAATATGTAGATAGGGGCCTTCAATGATCATGGTTGGAAACCCAACAACTGGGTTTTAATTATGAAAATAAAAAAAAAGTTTGTTAAATTTTTTTATTACTAGAAACATTTTAAACTTTATCTTTTTTTTAATAATAAATATTAGGGATAAACTGGTGAGAATCCAGCTTTCTTCCTAAGTCATCTATAGGTATTTAGCCCTTACGAGAGCTAATAAGAAATTAAATAACTTCTATTTTTGTTAAATTCTAACATATAAATGTTATGCACGTTAAAGCTACATCTGGTGATTTCTAGTTTTAATTTATAATGAACCAAATGATTTTAATTGGCAGAATAATAATGTTTTACTCCAACTGATGGTGAACAAGGTAAAGGCATGATTTATGGATATAATGGAGTATCATATTTAGATACATCTGCTGCACTTTTATTAAGAACCGTGGTTGCAGCTTTACACCTTATTAGGTGAAATTGTGTGTTTAGTGCAGCTATAACCAAGGTTGCTGCTCCTCAGTGGTCAAAGCCTGTTCAAAGAGATTTATTTGTTGTTTCAGATAAATAAAATATTAAAACTATTTTTCTCACTAAATGCTTGTCCAAAATTGCTCATCACCCCAACCCAAAGGTGAAAAGCAGGCTATAGGAAGCCCAAGTCTCCTCCATTTCTGGTCGGCCCATGGGTCCCCGGAAGAACGAAAAAATGAAAGCAAGTCAACGGGGCTAAAAACACTATTTTCTAATCCGCTTTGCCTTACGCCCTGGATCACACATATGTTGTACTGCAATTTAAATGAAAAGTAATGATGGGTGTTTCGACCAGGCCAGTCACGTACTTTGAGATTTATCAGCTTGTAAAAGTTTGTAATTAGCATGACTACAAACCAGAAATCGGCACATCGCATTGATGTCACCACATAATCTCCTCTCCCCTAGCATAGCTGCTTCTTACCAAATGACTAGATTTATGGTGGGTCTTTCCTCCTCTGGGAAGTTTGTTGAACTTACAGCCCTTTTCTCTCAGTTTTCTCTGTGTCTGGTTCGATGACGTCACTTTCGTGAAACGCATTTGTCGTCCTGAACTTATTTTCACACAAAACCTAAAATAGTGTTTTCCCCTGTTCAAGAATTAGCGCATTCTTGGAATCAAAATGTGTCTTTAAAGTTCACGGACATCATGTGTGAAATCCAAGGCACAAAACAAGTGGAATTAAAAAGTAGCGTTTTTAGCCCCATTGATTTGCATTCATTTTTTCGTTCTTCCGGGGACCCGTGATGCGGAGGTAGATGGGCGTGACTTAGGCTCCCCATACTGTTTTTGCCTGAGTCTGTTTGTAGTGCTTTGAATCACTAGACAGGATCTAATGAAATACTCAAAGTAATTGTTTAATATGCATCTACTTGTGCCTTTGGAGTCAACCACGGCCATCTGAGCATATTGATAATGATCTACACGTGTGTTAGTACCTGAGAGGCATTCACAGCACACACTCTTGAATGTTTATAGATCAAATATAAATAACTAAAGGTGTAAAACTCCATCCTGTGTAAGATGGTCTTAGTTTAGCAGAGAGGCAGTGGGTCATATGCTGACGTTTATGAATGTTTATACATAAACAAAACAAATGTGTATTTGTAAACTCGTTTAACTTTACAAAGTTGTTCTTGACCCAGATTTCAGTTCCAGACATGGCTTCCTGCTTCTTAGAAGACTAGCCGGTAATGCTTTTCTACAACACAGTCTAATGAATCAACAGTTAGGAATGTGATCAGTAGTGTTTCCTGAAGCTCTGAGTCATTCACACACACTAAAAAGACCAGAGTCATCATAACTTGGATATTTTACATCCTTAAAAAGAAACTTGAACATTTCTGATCAGGTTTCATTTTCTAAGATTTAGGTTTTGGGTGTGTTTAACCTTTTTTAGGGCCAACGTCTATACTTAGACACTTCCACTCACATCATAAATTATGTCAGAGTGCCTTTCACAGACTCTTGGAATTAGAGGAATTCTCCCGACCAATCATCAGAGATCACGCTGGTCACAGTTCACGCCATGGCACCGTTTGACCAATTAGCATGGGGCCAAATATTGGTGAAAACTGCCTTCCTGCAGCTCGGTCTCCTCTCGTGTCTACAGTCGGATCTCTAAAACTAACAATGCTAGGTTTATGGAACTCTCGCATCACAAGGTCGACTAGTTGTGCTAAACAAGGATATAAGTGTTGTAAATATTAGTCAATAAACTGGTGAAATCATAGCATGAAAATCGAAGCTGCAATATTTGACCATGTGCCCTGAACAAGTAAATTAAAGTATTTATATTTTTAGGTAAAATCTGTTGTTTTTAGACATAATGTTCATAATCATGGTAACAGTAATTATAACAGTTATAATATTACATTTATTTTGCAGTAAGATTTGCAGTTATTGTGCCAGCCAATCTCGCCATCAGTGATGATGATGAACAGGAGAAAGATGACATTGAGGCAGATACTCAAATATATAATATTGTAAAATTTTCTAATAATCCATATTTGATCAGAAATTATATCGGTTATTCAATAACTTTTCAAAAATATTCTACAGTATTGTATATTTTAAAATAGTTGTTAAATATTCTGTGTCATTATACAGTGACAAATCCAAAATAACTTGTTTTTTTACTTTAGGATTTCTGTCACCAGACATAAATATTTTTGTAAATTATAACAACAGCAGAATATTTTTGTTAAATACCACAATAACACCCTGAGGTTAAAAAAAAATAAAAATAAAACACCTCCTTCCCTATGAAGGGTTAAACCAGGCTAAGTTGGTACTAAGGGGCCCAAAGTGGGACCAGAACATCCTCTTCACACCATTACATCACATAGACCAGTGATACAGGATGCAGGATGGATCAATTCATTTATTTTGTGGGCACTCACCTGCCCATTCTCCTTTGACTAGTACTGCTGCTCACTGGACATTGTGGTTGTTTTTGGACCAATAACGTAAACCTGATCTACTGGATTCAAACCCCACTAGATCAGACCTGCCTGACTACTATCATGTTTTGTTAAAAATCCTCTGAATGTCCTGTCGTCTACATTCTGATGCTCAGTTAGAACTTCAGCAACTTCACTGTTCCTAATTACTTAAATGCATTTGCCTGATGACATCTGGAATAATATATAAAATCCCACAAAGTCCAAAAAAGAAACCCAGTCACATCGCAGGTGGAACCTTTCCCACAGAGAAGACGATGCTCGGTTTAAAAACATGACCCTCGGTGGCTCTATTACAGGTTGAATATGGAACACAAACTCCAAAGCGACATTGTGTGTGGGGATTGTCATTGCAACAAGAACAAGGTTTCCAGCCGTTGGGATACCAGGTTTTCTGCCAGTGTGTGAATTATTTATTTATTGCAGTCTTCACCTAAACGCACTTTGGTTTTAGATATTTTATGATCGCTCGTAGAAGGATAACCACATATTCTGGGCTTAGAAGCAGCAGCTTGACTTGCCGAGCCCGCCATTTTCCACAGTGCCAGCCTCGCTGTGCCGAGCGGACTGTTTAACAACCTGCAACGGTGCGCTCTATTGGTTGATGTAAACATAAATCCACTGATGTGCCTTCAAAATAAATATTTTATTATTTTTTTTAATTAAAATATAGCTTTGGGAATACTGTACTTTCATTATGTAAACCTCCAAACACCCTGTGGAGGTTTCATTTATAAAAAATATATAGTTTTTTATAGAATTGTTCCATATTCAGCTTTTAAACTCACTTGTAACTCACCTTTCCCACAGGCAGTAATTACTTCACAGTCAAAGTTACTAAATTGTCTCCAACTGTGTTCATCTCTAATAGTGATGAACCTATTTGTGTTTCTGGGTGGGTAAAATAATGATTTTACAGGAGAATGATTGCTCATGTGAAGTGAAAATGTGTGTTGTCAGTCAACTGTTCAGCAGCCAAAGAAGATATACGTCTACTTTCTAATGTTAATGTGAAGTTATCTTTGAATCTGATCAGTTTCTGCAGACCTTTTTGTGTGTGTGATGAGGATGTGTTTATCCTGGACACACACCACCAACTGATTTCCACGTTTCTGTCATTTGACTACTTTATGTAATAAGTTTCCATTACCTGAAAGTCAAGGTGTGAGCTCACGGTGAACAGTGGGTGGGGCGTGTCAGGTTTCTCAGGTAAAGTGAGTTCAAGTCTCCTAGAAGAGAGGGAATTGACTCTCTCTCTCTCTCTCTCTCTCTCTCTCTCTGTCTCTCTCTCTCTTTCTCTCTCTCTCTCTCTCTCTCTCTCTCTCTCTCTCTCTCTCTCTGTGTGCGTGTGTGTGTGTGTGTGTGTGTGTGTGTGTGTGTGTGTGTGTGTGTGTTTGCACACTCTTGTTCCGGGATATAAAGTTCTGGTATGTCACTCTGCTGCTGGCAGCGGTTACTACCAGCTCTGTGTGTGTACTGTCAACAGAAGCGTTAACTGGTGACTTTTGCATACATTCTCTCTAATGATTTCTATAGACAGCATGTTGGTTTAATTATTTCCAACCTAAAAGCTTTAGAAAAAAGATTCAAACCTTTTAAAGAATAAAAACGATTGCCTTTTACAGAGTTCAGAAAACGTGTTTCCTCCTAATTTTCTGCTTTACTTTTTGTTCTCTTTGCAGTGAATCATCAGCACAGAGGTGGACCAGCGATGCCACCCCCAGCCACAAGTCCCACCGCCGTGCCCCCACCAGATGGCGGGTGGGGGTGGGCTGTGGTGTTTGGATCGTTCATCTCCATTGGCTTCTCCTACGCCTTCCCCAAAGCCATCACGGTATTCTTCAAAGAAATCCAGACGATTTTTGATGCCTCCTACAGTCAGATCGCATGGATCTCCTCCATCATGCTGGCAGTCATGTACGCTGCAGGTGGGTTACTGGTTCCTTTTCACCTGCTCTTTAAAGTGAAAGTAAAAGTCTGCACTTGAGAAAATGTAAGTCATTCATTTCCTGGTGTTGAAAACTGTCACACCTTATAGGCTGATCATTTTCTTTGTCATTCAACATCTGGAGACTCCAGCTCTACGTTATTAAACCACATTGTCAACCAAATGACCTACATACCAGACAAATCATCTGCTTAATTAGCATTGTGTCTTTCAGTCTAACTACCCATTTTCTTAGTGAGATTTTGTTTTTTCCCTAGATGCAAATAAAGAAAAGCGATGCATGCTGGTTTTTGTCATGACCTAGATTTAGCATCAGATGCTTCTGGCACCAGGCTGGTGGTACAGACACCTCCCAGACTATACAAAATCAACTTCACATCTCAAATACAGGAAACAATGTCATTCACAGACCCAATGTGCATTTTGACTTGGAGATATAGTTTACAGGGTTTATTTGCACAAGAGGACTAAAACAGAGATAAAGCAACATCTGTTGCAAATAAATGCAGCAGGAAAACCACTAACTCTAGAAAATAATCAGACAGCGATGGTTATTCTGACTGAGGCAATAAGAAACCTTTGAATAGTGAAAATGCGTTTACAGATGGACATCTACACTAGCATAAGGCCTCCGATCACCTGCTGCATTCCCCACAATGGTTTCAGCCCTTCTACCTTTATCCAGGCACTGCTGTGGTGGCCATCTGTCCACACCGTAATCCTCCAGTTAGCTGCTGTCACCATCTGTGTTGGTCAATCTGGGAACGAATCAGATTTCAGACAGAATTTGGAGCGTTTTGATTCAGTGACTGCAAAGTAACAAGCTAAAGTTCAGAGTGGTCCCCCGTTCAGACACAAGATGTTAAAATAGTCCAAATTGTAATAAAATTAACAAAAACAAGCAAACAAACAAACAAACAAATAAAACAAAAGGGTGTTTTGAAAACATATCTTAACAGTTGTTTCTGAGGGGTGATGTGTAGGTCTGCAGATTTGATGGAAGGAGCCCAAGGATGTCTTTGTTGCTCATTTGCTTAGTCTGAACTGTGCACTGCCCCCTAGTGGATATGTTGCTTATCAACCACATCTCATAAATCTCTCATGGGGAGTGAGTCGGGACAGATGCTGTCAATATCTGCGACCAACATACCCATTTATGTATGTAACCTGAGAATCAGTTTGTGTGTAGACTAATCAAATATAAGTCCAAATTCTATTTATTTATTAAGTACTAATAAAAAGCAACGTGTACCAAAGGGCTGCACAAAATGAGAACAAGTATGAAAGAAATAGATAATACAATGGCAACAATGTTATAAAAGTCACTGTAAAACACAACTGCTTTAATCAAGGCCCAGAGAAAAAAGGTGAGAGAGAGTCAGACTCTTTTGCATTCGTAGGCAGCTTGTTCTACAACCTGGGAACAATCTCACACAGAAAAAGACTTTTTTTTTTTGCTGCTCATAGTCTTTAGTTTGAAGGGTACCTTCAAAAAGTCCCAATTCTTTACCAACCCCTCCTTCCTCAGTTATATATATATATATATATATATATATATATATATATATATATATATATATATATATATATATATATATGAACATTGTGGAGAGGCAGGCCATTCGTCTGTCGATAGATGGGACTGTACCCTTGGAAGGGTCCTTCAGGATGAGGATTGGTCACCCTTCAGCTAGCCATTCAGGGTGAGTCCCATCCTTTAGCAGCTGGTTCATTTGTGCTGCCAGGCGCTCATGGAGTGCACCAAGCTTCTTAAGCCTGTAGACGAGGATCATGTCAGGTCCCGGTGCTGTCCAGTTTTTCATACCTGAGGTCTGCCACAGTGATGGATACTGGGTTCTGCTCAGAGAGGTTGCTGTGGTCTTCTCTAAGAGAGGCTAGCCACTTAGCATTGCTGGTCTGTGATGCCTTCTTCTCTCAAATGAGATGGTTCATCCCAAGTGGTTAAGTCATTAAAAATAAGTAAATAAATAAAATAAATAATAAAGCAGAAACTTGCTTTGGTCTTGAACTAGCTGTTAGCTCATCAGTCCTGAAGAATGTGAACCCTGTTGTCCATCACGCGTACCTCCTCATTTTTAGCTGACAATCATCATCAGCAGAATCTAAACAGCCTGAAATGTAAAAGCTCATTTAACAATAATAAAAAAAAGAAAACATTCTGAATGTTTCTAATAATTGTCTTTCCTCTAACAGGTAAGGTTTAAATGTGAGACCTTTTATTTTACCTGTCCAAAGACTGGATGTCATTATCGTGTGTTGACTTCGTCGATACGTGCAGTTACTAAGCGAGTGGCTCCTGTTACTCGTTCATTCATATTGATTGCACTCATCAGCTATTCATTAAACACCTGCTCACTTGTTCTGCCTATTACACTGATGATTCCATCACTCTTTGAATGTTTAACACCTTTCTAATTCCCTGCAGCTGCTCCTGTGTGCTGTTTACACAGTTCTGTCATTACTGTGAGGCCACCGATAATGAGCCAACAGCAGCAGACACCCAGAAGTAATAATGCACTTGGTCCAAATGACTGAGAAGACCTTTCACATATTAGCATCGCCTGATGCTAACTTGGTTTACAACCTACAAACCCTCTTTGTAAACCGAACAGATAAACTTTCTTTTTCTGATGGACGTGCTAATTTCCTTCAAATTGCAATTTTGAGGTAAAGTGGAAGTTTTTTAAGACTCCGTGAAAAGGCACGCTGACATCATTTATGATGCGAGTGGAAGAGTCTAAATAGAGATGTGTGCCGTATGAAGGGCTAGGAGGGCAACTTAGGACAGACTGAAGGTAGACAGGATGTTGGTTTATTTGAACTATTTCTGAGTGTCTGTAACATTTACCTATTTTTTTTTTTAGCTTTCGTTGCACTTTAAATCACATCATTCACATTAGAAATTTTATGTAATGTGTTTATTCATGTGTGAATACATAGATATTTCTTTTTTGAGGTAATTATTTAGTAAATTCCAAGTCAAAATGACTTGGACAGAGCACTTCAGGTGTTACTGAAAGGTGAGAGAGAGTGTGTGTGTGTGTGTGTGTGTGTGTGTGTGTGTGTGTGTGTGTGTGTGTGTGTGTGTGTGTGTGTGTGTGTGTGTGTGTGTGTGTGTGTGTGTGTGAGTGTGTGTGTGTGTGTGTGTGTGTGTGTGTGTCAACAGACAGTTCTGGGGGGCGGATAATACTCATCAATTGCCAAATGAGACATAACAACGTCAATCTGCCGTCTCCAGGTCAGCAGCCAGTGGAGGGTTTAATCAAATCCAAGTGTCTTAAGCTTGGTTTATGCTTGACGCATTACTTTCCGCTTGGTGATGCGGCTCGCGGCTGGAACGTGCTTCACAACTCGCAGCGTTTATGGTTCATGCGGCTCATCTCTGCGGTGAGCCAATATTCTCCCAAACTGTAGGGGGCAGCATGGAGCTCTATGGCATGCATCCAACACTACACCATAGTAGAAGTAGAAATTACTGTTTACAACATGGCATTTCAGCATTTTTAACAGCGTCCTCGTCTTTTCCGACAGTGCGAGCTACTTCTCTCCAAGAATTATTAACAACATGTTGATCACGGTGATCTCTGAGAGCTTTTCTTAAAATTCTTAAAAACAAGTCAAGGGTTGAAACTATTGAAAACAAGTCAAGGGCTGAAACTACATCTTATAATCAAGTGGCCTTTAGAGGATTAAACCAACTACAGGTTTCAGACTTTGGCCTTTCTGGTGTATTTTATTAGCAGCTGATATAAATGCATTTTGAACTTCAAAGGTATCTATATTTCTACGGCCCCCTTATCTTGATTACATCTGCAGCACTAAAAACAGGGTTGAGCAATCTTTAGACACACGTTTCATGGACACAAAATCCACTGGGCTTCACTCATCAGCTTTAATTGGGACTGTTTCATAAGTAGGAAATGACTCAAATGAAAGAAACTCACCCTGTGGGAAAGATAATTCTGTAGAGAAACGATGATGTAGGTGCTGATATTTTCTTGTCTCAAAGAGAAGAAAAGGCTTGTTTTCTAGGTTCTCTTGCAAGTTTAAAAATTAGAATTTTTTCAACATAGCGCTGGTCCTGTTAATGCTCTGTAATAATTAGAAAATACTCATGTGTTTCTTCTGGGAGTCTGTTGTAGAGACACATTTTGCAGCAGAATGATCTTTCTTCCATTTCTGTCAGCGTTACCCCAAAATTGAAGTGTGACAGGTATTTAGCATGATCACATCACATCAGTAGATAAAAACTTTTCCCGGCATTCCTGTGTTGTGTCATTTCCTTTTGGAAACTAGGTGGTTATATTTAGTTCAGGGCTTTTCCGACGTATAACAAAGTCCATTCCATTTCTGGCCAGGAGATGATAAGCCCTTTTGCCATGGAAGTAATGTGCAGGCTCTGGGGCTTCCTCGTGTTGGCCGATCTGAGGCCCGCCGAGCCCCCAGAGAATACTGATGACTGCTGCTGATGCAAATGAGGAGTACTTTTCTCAAGGTCGAGCAAAGATTCATGCAGAGCAAATGAAGTGAGATAGCTTCTTGTCAGCGGTAGCTTTTTAAACGGTGCTAGCAGAAATGTGATACATCCTAGATGATAGTAGGAACTCCATTTCAAAAGGAAGGAGAAAAACATCTTTCATTACTTTTTGCCCTCTGTTCAATTTATACCTCTTGTGCTTAAGGTTTAGCAAATAATTAGGAGATGCAATGAAATTTGTTATTTATAGCCAGGTTATTTAAATAATTTATCAATCATGCTTAAATTGTCAAACAGAACTCACCGATATTTGTTACCTGAGTCCTTTTTCAAAGACTCTTTATCATCTTTGAAGATCTGTGACACTCAAATTTTTGTGTGTGCTTTGTTGGAGTAGTGGGTGCGAGGAGAAAAGCAGGGTTATGAGTCTTACTCATGAGTCTTCATGCTATTCAAACCTCTCATTGGCTAACAGCAACAAAACTCTTCTGTTGCATTTTTTAATAAAACTCAACATGTAAAACATTTTCTTCAATGCAACCTTGATGTGTTACCTCTAACAACACAAGCTCAAACGTGTTCTGCCACGTTGTGGAGATGCTATTGGTTAGCTTCCAGACAAGATGCCCTCCGCTCTCTCCTTCCACGGTCGCAAGCCAAGGTGGGCTAACCAATGAATGCTAATTTTCCCAGTCACATTGAAGAGACTGTCTTTTCCTAACCAGATCGTTGTCTCATCTATTTCCTTTCTGCAGGTAATGCAGACAATAGGAGTTAAAGAATTTTTTCACCTTCAGCATGGATATAAAAAACCCAACGACTAATCAAATTAGTAAAAGAAGACATATTAACTCATTCACTGCCATTGATGACTAAAGTCATCATTTCAGATCCAACCGTTCACTGCCAGTCGTCATTTGCATTTTTTTACTGTTTGAGCATCGGAACGAGCCCCCGCGCTGAGAGAACAAACATCTCAGCCCTGAAGCCGATCTTCATCCGCATACATCACACGTCACATGATCAGGAAGCAGAGCATCCATGTGTTAAGGTTGCTTTCATGCTTGACACGTCCGTGAGGCCCGCACGGCTCCGCGCAGTGAAATTGCGTCATTTTAACAACCACGCCCCTCCACCGCGCCTCCGCACGGCCCAAAATTTCCACAACGCGCACCTAGGAAAATTTCTAACCATGCGGACGGTCGGACGCAGAAAAACATGGTGGACCGGCAAGAACTAGTATGGCAGAGGTTCGTAAATACAGACATTTGTATGATTCAGCTCTCAGAGATCACCGTGATCAACATGTTGTTAATAATTCTTGGAGAGAAATAGCTCGCACTGTCGGAAAAGACGAGGACGCTGTTAAAAATGCTGAAATGCCATGTTGTAAACAGTAATTTCTACTTCTACTATGGTGTAGTGTTGGATGCATGCCGTAGAGCTCTATGCTGCCCCGTTCAGTTTGGGAGAATATTGGCTCACCGCAGAGACAAGCCGCATGAACCATAAACACTGCGAGTTGTGAAGCGCGTTCCAGCCGCGAGCCACATCACCAAGCAGAAAGTGAATGCGTCAAGCATAAACCAAGCTTTAGGAGATAGTTTTGAGTCGTTCCTGTAAAAAAAAAGTGAGGCGCGAACTGGAAAAGCGTCTGCCGATCACAATTCGACAACGGGTTATGAAAGAATGGATAACACTCGAAATACGTGGATAATTCCTGATGTGAGAGGTGAGTTTCCTCTTTGTTTTGGTTGTTTTGGCGTCGACATCATCCTAGCGCGCAACATTCTGTGACTTAAAAAACAGTAAAAATGGTGAGAAACGCTGGCAGTGAAGGCCATTAGCGATCAGGAAACGGCTGACAGTGAATGAGTTAAATGTTTTCTGTGAACAAGATCTTTAATGCAACTCATCTGATTAGATAAATGAGGTGAATCCAGTCAGTTAAACATCTTTGCATCAGAGAACTTTTGACAAGGTGGAAAAACAAACATTGCTTTATGTTTATGTTTATTCATTTAGCAGACACTTTTATCCAAAGCGACTTACAATTTATAACCTATAGGGCATGTTGTGATCTGTGGGGGAAACCGGAGTACCCGGAGGAAACCCACGCATGCATGGGGAGAACACGCAACTCCACGCAGAAAGTCCGCAGCCGAGTTTCGAACCTGCAACCTTCGTGTTGCGAGGCAATAGTGCTAACAACTGCGCCACCATGCAGCCCAGACATTGTCTGTCAGATGTAGTAATGTAATAAAGGAGCTGGATTCAATCACAAAAACAAACCAATTTTCTATTAAGTTGAAGCCATACTATGCAACTTTTTCATATTTTTAAATAGTTTTCTTGAGCCAATATGTGCTTAAATGGCCCTTTACAGGGTTAATGAAAAGCTACCCAGCCCCCTGTGAAGCTGAAATACCTGGTGCTGCAGTCTGCTTCCAGCACGTTTCCTGCATGTTTTAGATCATGAACACATCTGATTTGTCTAATTTAGTGATTAATCTCTTCTGTAGACACTAATGATGGATGGGGGGACATTTCAGCTGTCAGCTTCACTGGCTGCCAGTCAACTCCAGGGTTCATTTCAAGATCCTGGTTCTGGTCTATAGGGCCTTACATGGACAAGCACCATCTTGCATTGGTGATCTTCTTAGTCCCTACACCCCCAGCAGGTCCCTGAGGTCCAGTGACCAAAGCCTACTGGTTGTGCAGCACCAGGCTAAATACCAAAGGTGACAGATCATTTGCTGCTGTGGCCCCCAGACTCTGGAACTCTCTCCTCCTGAGCCTGAGATCAGTGGACTCAGTGATCTTCTTTAAAAAGCAGCTGAAAAGTCACTTGTTCAAGCTGGCTTTTGTATGACCTTCTTCACCACTCTCTCTTTATTCTGCTCTCCACACCTATTCCACCTTCTTCAGGATCCACTGATTTCCCTCTTTCCTATTCACTCTCTCTCTTTCTTTACATTTTTTTTCTTTTAAATCACAATTGCTTATTCTTGCTCATTTTAAATATATTTTTAAACATTTTCTAAGTGCTTTTTTATATTTTTACAATTTTTTATATTTTTTGTTTTTGTTTTGTGAAGCGCCTCGTAATTTTTATCTTGAGAGGCGCTATAGAAATTATATTTTCTTCTTCTTCTAGTGTTAAAAAGATGAACGCACAGCGAGGAGATAGGTTTCATTTTTGGTTTGACCACAGATAATTAATAACGGGCACTAGGGCATGCTAAAAGCAAGCAACACTGACAAGTGTGCCTTTAATGCAACAAAAATATAGATCTGATGACAAATGATGTCTTCTTAAAAATATCAATAGACACTAAAACATACAGAAAAATTGCAAGTACTTTTTCCATATTACTCTACTCTTCCGTTCTGCTTTAAAGAATTTGTCATACTAAGGTATATGTACAGTCAATGCCTATTTAAAAAATACCACCCACTTTATGCTTTTAATGATGGGCATGATTTTTACAGCTCTAACAAGATCGATTCATTCTGAGTTGACATTTTACTTTCTTTTCTCCTCTGCTGCAGGTCCCATCAGCAGCATACTGGTCAACACATATGGCTGCAGGCCCATTGTCATGATGGGGGGGTGTCTTTGTGCTGTTGGCATGATTTCAGCTTCCTTTTGCAACAACGTCATGCAGCTTTACTTCTGCATTGGTGTTATTGGAGGTAAGTCCTACTAATTCTATGCTAGTCCTTTTTTAGCTGAGGAGATTAGATTCTATTTTTAAGTAGAAGGTAAAGGTAAACCAAGGTGGTAAAAAATAGGCACACCTTAGATTAACCTCATTGAGGAAAAAAATGTCAAGTCAATCACAATAATTTGACAGAAATTTGACTAAATGCTGACATTAGTAATGCTTAGTCAGTATTTTTTAAGTCAAGTTTGGTAATGTTGACCAATTAACCAAAACAAAAGCACCTTACTAAACTAAAAAATAGGATACTTGAACAAAAGTTCAATATTTTTTATATTCACCTTGACTTTATTTATTTATAAATGTATATATTTTTACATGATTAATAATTGATAGTGTGAAATAAATCCTAAGAATCAGAATCAGATGGGTTTATTGCCATACATGTGAGAAATCACAGCATTAGCAAATTGCTGCGGAACATAGTCCAAAAGACTAAGTGATTAGTTAAAAATAAGAAATAAGCACAATAAAATTATAGCAACGAGATACAAGACAGTAGGTACTGATCAGAACGGAATAGTCGGGTGCAAACACAACACTGGGTCAGGTGACTGGAACAAAGCAACTGGAGTGGGCAGTTCTAGGATTATTATTCATGAGTCCAACTGTAGATGGTTGTTATTATGTACAACAAATTAATACAACTGTTGTTTTTATTGGAAACACAATATAGCTGTATAACATCAGCTAATTATGCTAACTATGTTACATTATCTGTGAACCACAATGTCCTTATTCACAAAAGCCAACTAGAAAAAAAACAACAACCTGGGACCAGAAAGTTCACAGTTGCTTGGAAAGCAGGTTCTGTATTAGGGATGCACCGATACCGATACGATACTGGTATCGGTTAAAGTTTACCGATACCAGGAACCAATACCAATGCAGTTGCTTGAAAATGGCTTCACTGTAACTTATTTTTGTTCACCTAATATTTTAGTTTTGTGATGATTTCTATTCATATATTTTACTTTTTATCCACCTCACAGTCTTTTCTTGTTGAAAGCAGAGAAGAAAATAAAATCTGTATTCCAAATCATTGCATTTTTTTGTGTGGTAGAAGTATAGGTATCAGTAATCGGCATCGGCGAGTATTCAGATCCAAGTATCGGTATCGTATGGGTTTGGAAAAAAGTGGTATCGTTGCATCCCTATTCTGTATATGTTCTGTTTTAGGTATTCTTAAGTATTGGTCATAATGTTTCATTAATTCTATTCTAATGCATATATTTTTTCTCAGGGCTTGGACTGGCCTTCAACCTGCAGCCAGCATTGACGATGATAGGAAAATATTTCTTTAAGAAGCGTCCCATTGCTAACGGACTAGCAATGGCAGGGAGCCCAGTCTTTCTCAGTACCCTGGCTCCCCTTAACCAGTATCTTTTTAATCAGTTTGGCTGGAGGGGCAGCTTCCTCATCCTGGGGGGGCTGCTCCTTAACTGTTGTGTGGCTGGCTCCCTCATGAGGCCACTAGGTCCTCCGCCTAACAAAGTCAAAAAGGACGAAGCAATGGTAGCCATCACCACTACTACCAATGAAAAGCGTAGTCTCTGGCAACTAGTCAACAAGTATCTGGACTTGACTCTCTTCAAGCATCGCGGCTTCCTCATCTACCTGTCAGGAAATGTCATCATGTTCCTGGGCTTCTTTGCACCCATTGTCTTCCTCACTGCCTATGCAAAAGATATGGGCGTAGATGAATACTCTGCCGCCTTACTGCTCTCAATCCTTGCTTTTGTTGACATGTTTGCCCGGCCCTCCATGGGTCTTCTGGCTAACTCTCGTTGGGTCCGACCCAGGATCCAGTACTTCTTCAGCTTTGCCGTCCTGTACAATGGCGTGTGCCACATCCTCTGTCCTCTGGTGGAAAGTTACACTGGCTTGGTGGTGTATTCTGTGTTCTTTGGTTTTGCCTTTGGCATGGTCAGCTCAGTATTGTTTGAGACATTGATGGACCTGGTTGGAGCTCAGAGGTTCTCCAGCGCTGTAGGACTCACTACCATTGTGGAGTGCTGCCCAGTCCTCATCGGCCCACCATTAGCAGGTATAGTTGCCTTTTTTTTAACACTTTCATTCATCTAAATGTTTCAAGTGCATGGTTTTAGTCACTAATGTTCTTAAGATGTTCAGGCCACAGATGGTTTTCACAGCATCTGTCTGCATTCCTTCGTGGGGGTTTGTTGCTTGCCGCTCAAGCCTACCAGGGCGTCAGATTCGGATAAAAAGAATTTGTTTGGGTCAGGCTGAAATAATTTTCCTCTCTGCCTTCAGTGAAGCCAATTTTGGGTTTTTAAACCTGTCCATACCGTCCGGTGACTCTCTCCGAGATGACATCCATTTTGCGCACTAATTCCAGTATCGTAGCTAGAACATTGTTCAGCTTACGATTTGCCTCGAGTAGCGTCCCAGTCTGAGAAGTCTCCACACGGACGGTGCTTTCCGTGGGTGCGGGTCACCCTCCAATCGCTCCCGTCTTCCCAAATTTCCAGAAAACCAGATATCCTCCCACTCCAATCAGGAGAAATCCAGTGATCATCAGGCCGAATATCCACATGTCTTCGATATCCTCAATGGACAGCTGGCTGAGGCATATGATCTTCCACTCCTTCCAGGAATCCAGCATATATCCCACCGGGTGTGTCCCCTGTGGACATGTGGGAGCCCCCTGCTCCGTTCTCATTGTTGAAAAAATCTTATCAATCGCATTGAATGACCAATTTATCAAATCCATGGTTAGTAAAAATAGAGTTTTTCAGAATAAATGCAGAGAAGCGCTCTGTGGGCAGACAGGACAAAGAGCCTTGGGAAAAAAAGATAAGGGAGCGAAAGAAAGAAGCGTCTGTACTTTCGAATGCCTTGAAGAAGAAAAAAGTATGGTTGTTTGCTTACCCCTCCTTTACACTGGAAGCAGCAGCGGCACAGAACAGCAGTGGAACATCACTGCTTCATATAGAACCTATTATAGTCTATGGAATTGAGTCACACTAGCCGTGACATGGACATTTTCAGGTGCGTCCCAGAAACAGAGTGCTGCACTGTTCCGCTAAAGAGTGGATCGGGTTCTATTTTTGCCGCGAGCTTCTGGGACATGTCAATTTCCGCATTTAACTAAGGACTAAACAAGAAATCACACACAGTTTCAATGTAAAACCTTCAGTAATTTTCAAAATAAAAGACTATTGCAGCAATCCAATTTTGTATCTTTGTAGATTATATCAGTACATGTGACCTAATGGCTTATTCACTCCCAGTATCGTTCAGAAAGTACATCGGTGTATTTCTTTGCTTTAATCCTTACAATGGAGAGAAACCATCATATATGACATCAAACAGATATGAAACGTGATCTCTTTCTTTTTGGTTTAATGGCAGGTGGCATAAACAAACTGTGACCTTTGAAGTCTCAAGGGACCTTGTGATCTAACAAGTCCAGCAAGTAGCACAGTGATGAAGCCGTTAAGCGGCTGAATTTCTCTCAGTGTTCCACGCCGCTGATGCATCCAGTGTTAATTAGGAGTTACGCTGATGTTCATACGCCATCTTAGAGTTTACCATAAATTAGCATTACTTTAATGAAAGGTGCAGATCGGGTCTATGTATAAACAAACAGGGCTGTGTTTGATTTCATCAGAAAGTAAAGCTGCAATAGCAAATCTGCAAAACAAGCTAACCTTTAAACATAAACATGGTCACAGAACTCTCACCCCTCCCAGTGGCTATCATCCCCAAGCTACGTCTGTCTGATACCATAACCTGCGTTGCTAGAGAAAACGAGAGAGCGCTAAACACCAGTCGCCGTTTTCTACGTCCAAAAGTCTTTAGTTGTCAGTGACTTCAAATAGTGTTTTTCTCTTTGGAACTCAGGTATTTTGTCCTAAAGTTGAAGTGGTAGCAGCCAGCTGTTTCTTCTTGTCTGATATAATTGAGCGGAGAACCTCCCACACCAGTGGTGTTCTGTTGCCAAATACGTGAGAGCGTTATGAATGTAAGACCCAGGTAAATGTGAAAGTGCTTTGGTGAGTCAGACAACCACATGTTCCAATCCACTTCATTAATTTTTTCGTTTTACTTTTATCTCCACAATATATGTATAGCCGTACAATGTTAGAATGTTGTTAAGAGGTATGAAAACATGTTTTAAGCTAGCTTATTTTGCAGATTTGCTATTGTGGGGTGACAGTGGCACAGGAGTTAAGAGCTCGCCCCGTAATCGGAAGGTTGCAGATTCGAACCCCGCTCAGTTTGTCGCTCTCATTGTGTCCTTGGGCAAGACACTTCTAACACTTGGGGTTATGGACAACGAAACTCACCTTGCCTGCTGATGGAGGCCAGAGGGACCGGTGGCGACTGTGCTCTGCAGCCTCGCTCCTGTCAGTGCACCCCAGGGCAGCTGTAGATACATTGTAGCTCATCCCCACCAGCGTGTGAATGTGTGTGTGTGTGTGTGTGTGAATGGGCGAATGACTGATTGTGTTGTAGAGCATCTTGGGGGGTTGTAGAAGGCGCTATGTCAAATACGAGCCATTTACCATTGTAGCTTTAAATACCTAATTAAAATGTGGACGTTTAAAGTGCAAACAGGGGTTCAGGTCTTAGTATTTTAAAACTTGTTTGTCTTTCAGGAAAACTGGTCGATATCACCAAAAATTACAAGTATATGTACTTCTGCTGTGGAGGTGTTGTCATTCTGGGCAGCATTTGGCTCTTCATTGGAAACTTCATTAACTACAGACTCTTGGATCGTGAGCGCAAGCTTGCAGAAATGTACAAGCGGACTGAGACGGAGGATCCTGACCGAGTTCGAGATGAGAAGGATGCAGATGGTACAGCTCAGGCCTCTGAGGAGTTGGTCAACAAAAGTCAGAATGATGAGGAGCCCATGCAGCGGGAAACAAACATCTAAAACACTACAACCATCTCACGTTCAACCAAGATGCAACTGATCAATACCCGTAACTGAGCTCCAAGCCAAGAGGTGCCTCACATGGTTTAGAAAAACATTCAGTCTCCTCAGTTGATTTATGAAAATAACTGCCAAAGCAGGAGTTACGTTGTATGAAGCTGTGAGGGATGGTATTTGCTTTTTAAAAGCGCATTAGTTATGACTAACTGAAATATTAACAAAAGTAGGGCTGGGCGATATGGCCTAAAATCAATATTACGATATATTGAGGATTTCACGTTGGTAACGATAAATGGATGATAACTACAGGTATGTGCAGTAACAAAAGTTGTCCACTAGATGGGGCTGTCACATGTATTACGTTGAGTCACATTTTTACGTGACTCAAGGTGATACAGCTTCTTAAAGGGACATGAACATTGCCAACCTACACACATATTTTCTTTTTTTTTCATTATCAAATGAATTGAAATGGGAAAAATTATCTTGATAAGAGCAAGAAATTTTGATAACGATACATTTCCGATTTATTGCCCAGCCCCAAACAAAAGGCAAGAAATGTTATTCTTGAAAATTTTGAAACAAATCTTCCCCCACATGTTAAAGCACTTCAGCTGTTTAATGTAAGAAATGTTGCTATTTTTAAACTAAATGGACCAAAACATCATGGCTGCCCCCGTAGAAAAAGCAGGTTTGTCTGACTGAAACAAAACAAGAACAACTAAAAAGTAGTTTATTGATAGATAGATAGAGAAATAATACGGCAGCTCTTTTTGAATGTATTTTTTAAGTGTGCTCGGGTCTCAGAGACCAAATCCAAGCTACCAAGAAGGAACTTTAGGAGAAAGCAAAATAATTAATTCACTGATAATGGTGTTAATTATTATCTGCTGCAGATTGGCACTAGCTGACTTTATGTATCTTGAAAATAATCCTAAAACATCAATCCTTCTATATGAATGACACATGCACTGCTGCTGATTGAACACTAACAATCGAGAATCTACATGTCCAACGATGAATCCTGACAACAAATGACAATAAATAAATATTACATAAGTGACTTTTTTAGGAGAGCAAAGAGTTTTTAGGTGGTTAGAGAAACACTGCAGTCATATAGAGGTGACTTGTTGATTTTTATCAGTTAATTCTCAATTTTAGTACATGCTATCACTCAACTTGATTTCACACTACTCAGGATGTTTATAAAACACGTGAACATTACGTTTTAATGGATAATCAGAGATTGTTTTTAAAAAGAGGCGACTTTTCCCTTCTCAGCGTTGCTGTACGCTTCTCTGTCTGGTTTAACTATTTCTCCACACTGGATCCAGAACATCTTGATGTAATGGCATCTCTCAGAATTTCACATGTTATAGTAGGATGCACATAGATTTATTTTACGGACCTACAGTGTAATCTTACCTGCCTGGATTGTGACTTAGCCTCCACTCTTATTGGGTACAGATAGGGCTGCTCAATTATGGCGAAAATGATAATCATGATCATTTTGACTGGGATTGAGATCTTGATTATTTAATTAATTATGCAATACACAGACTCACACTCACCCGGTCTCACAGCAATCAGGGCATGCACATTCCTGTTTTTTAGCGGCTCGGGAGCCTGCGGGTACAGTTTGTCACTCACTCCGGCTCCTCCAAGAGGAAGCCGACTCTGAGAGCCATTTTGTTTGCGACCGACACATCATCATTCCCTTTCCTAATGTCCGGAGTGCAGGCCAAGTGCTTCGCTAACCAGCAGGAAATATCGATGACAGTTATCCAGAAAGTAGCTAAGCGTTGCCAGAAATGTTCTAGGTTTTCTAGGTACTTTTAGAAAAAAGTCAAAGAATGGGATCTAAAAAGTTGTTGGAAATAGCAACAAAGTTCCTAAACATTGGCAACGCTGTTGGAAGGTGCGCTCAGTTTGCAACTCGGAGTAAACCATGGAGGAGGAGCAAATAATCGGCTAGTTTTGTTTTTATAATCGTTCAAAACTCAGAAAACAATTGTGATTAAAATGTGATTAATTGAGCAGCCCTTGGTACAGATCAGAGTAGACCCTTCAAAGATCTCTTCCTTTCAAAAACAAGTTCCAGGCAAAGAGACTTGAAGGAAATAATGTGTTGGCGTCTCATGTTCATCACATTGTCTTTATCCAATTATCACTTGGTTCTGTCTTCATGTTTCAAGAAAACAAATAAATGAGATGTCATTGTTTAGAACACAACACTGATGTACACAAGTGGTCACCAATATGTAGCACAGTGCAAAAGTTTTAGGCAGGTGTGCAAAAATGCTGTAAACAAAGAATGCTTGAGTGGCCCCAAACGTCCAGCCAACGTCATTAAAAACAATCTTCAGCACAAAGAACAGCGAGAAGTCCTGGGAGCGATGATCTGGCCCCCACAGTACCCCAACATCATGGAGTGTGTCTGGGATTACATGAAGAGAATTGAGGAAGCATCCATCCACAGAGGATCTCCCAGACGTTTGCTAGTGTACCAAGAAGATTTGATGTGGTTTTGAAGCCAAAGGGCAATGCTGAATTGATTTAGATTTGTATTTTGTTCATTAACTGTGTTGGTTGAGTGATGACAGTAAATGACTAACACTTCCATTTTGAAAGAATTCTTTGTTTACAGCGTTTTGTACACGGATGCCTTAAACTTTTGCTCAGTACTGTTCTTTGATTTTTTCCAGAAAAAGTTAATGTCAAGGAAATAATTGATACTGTTATTCATTTATATGTAATGTGAACATTCACACCACTGACTGGTGTTACATAGGTTTCTAAAAAAGGGTCAAAATTGTTGTTGCAGTGGTGTATTAGCCGACACCGAACAAAATACCTGCAGAAGTACAGACAGGGCTTAAGATGACCCGTAATTAACCTGTCTGCATGTCTGAAGCTTCTGTACTCAGGGTGAGATCGGTGGTTAATGTAACTACACATGACTTTTGTGTTCTGTTTGTCTTCCATAGACATTCTCAGCATTGCCCTGATTATTAGTTAACCTGGTTTACAGTATTATATAAATAATCTGCATTAGAAAACCTAAAAAGGTGACAAGTGTTGTCAAGTTGAGCCATAGCATGGGTTGTAGAAGTTCTACCAAGTAACTTTATTGCTTTTTCATAGTTTTTTAAATCAAGCAAATTCATATCAGACTTTTAAAATGGGAGGTGCTACATGATTTGCACACAGAGCTAACAACAGAAACAACATTTACACAGATGTGATCTTACTCCAGACAATTAAACTCAAAAGTTAAAACAATTCAAAAGCGTTTCACTAAATCGTTGCCTACTCATCAGTTGGGTTAATACAAAAAGAGCAGATGTAATCACAGCTGGTGTCGCTGGCACTCGTGCTTTTGCTGCCCGCCTGAGCACTGTAAAGCGGTGTAGTAAAAGCTGTGCAAAGTTTTGATCAAGCCATAAAACGCTGTCCTTAAATGTCTTGGCTTTAATAGTCGTACCCTCTTTTACAGTATGTTGCACTAAAAGTCAAATTGCCACACTTCACCCCTAACACTGGTGTAAAAATGGCTGCAGTTTAGTGAATTTAATTATGGTTGAATGTAATTTCCTCTGTGGGCCTTAATAAGGTATTAATGACCAAAACCCATCTGCATCATAGTGGCTGTCTCTGCACACAAAGTCCAGGAGCAATACACTATTTCATGTATGAATGCAAGAACACACAGAAATGTGTTTCCAGTGGCAGTCGGTTCTGTGATGCATTGCCTTAAATGGGATGCAGTGTAATGAGTGCGGGAGAGTAGTCCAGTTGGAGCTGTATGACGCTGAGAAGGTTTGTTTTAAATGTGAACCACATTGTGTTATCCTAATATGGCTGCATAGGAATGTTAAAGCTTTAAATAGTTGTGTGTAGCCTCAGTGAACTCATTTACTAACATCCATGTCTACAAAGATGAATGCTAATCAGTCTATATGTACTGTACACTGTGCACTCAGTAATAATGGAAGGCTGTATTGTATAACCATCCTTTGATATGTATATTAGTATTGTTCAATATTCTATTCATTCCATCCTTTAGGTGTCTGAAAGTGTCGCCTTGCTTTGCGGTTTATGAGTTTATTTATTTTTCTGTGGACTCTAAACGTAAACAGTGTCACATCTCAGAAGCAAAAGGTAAACAACATTTAATTACAAATAAATAGTCAAACCTGAACCATCAAAACACAATGTAACATGGATGCTGGAGATTTGGGTTAAGGTTAGGGCGAATCAGGAAGATGGAGATCTAACAGCAGCTGCAGCTAACCTCAGACTGGAAACTTCTAGGTGGTCACGCCAACATAAACCAGTTTCTGGACCCATACAAAAGCTTTTATTTTTGTAACAACTACAAATGAAAAATAATTCATAAACCCTAAAAAGACAAATGCTTTACATAATGAACAGACTTACATCACAGGCTTGAACAGAATCCTGTTACTTGCAGAACAAACTGCAACGATAGTCTGGGGTGCAGCCTGGGCCACCCCCAGCTGGGAAACCCTTCAGATTAATCAGATAACATGAATTTGTGATGACACGATTTGTAAATGTAATTCTCACATGAACGTTTGTGATGTTTCTGGGACAGGACTTGATTTAGGACTGCAGAGATGCACTTTCACTCAAATGAGCATAATTTAATTTCACTGTATCTAGATTTTATGGCTGCCCTCTGAAATCTGTCTTTTGCTGTGGAAAGCATTTCCTTTACTATTATTATTAAATAATTTATCTAGAATGTCATTTTTCCTGCAAGCCAGTTTTGAATGTAGCCTTGATCCATGTGATTTGCAACAGAAGCTCCTCCTCCATTCGGTGGAGTTTAGACATTTATTTATCCTTTCATTTATGCCGTTGGAACAAACTGCTTCAAACAAAGAACCTTGGAAAAAGTAAGCTCCCTTTTTCAGAGAAACATCCTGCTGCAGGTCAGCGGCTTTTCGAGTCAGCAGGGCCAAAGAGTCGACTTTGTCCCCGTAGCTCTGGGTCCATCAGGAATGAATCAAAACTCAGCTACCCTAAAACGACTCCGATTTTGTAATTATTGTTTTAGTAACTCAAATTTGCAATTGTTGCCTCCTCAGCAAGTTAGGTTCCCCGCTGCTGTCAGTTCCTAGTGAGAAATGCAGAAGTGTGAAAAGGGTTTATTATATTGTAATAGTGCCGGTGACATCATAATGTGGTCATTTGTCTCAGATAATCAGTGTTTTGACTTCAGATCCAGCACTGGACTGTTTTCTCATAGTTCTGGCTGCAGGCTGGTTTTAACATATAAAACTATATTTAGCCCATCAGAAAATCCTTTACTTCTAGTCTAAATGGGATCTGAGTCCAAACTCCAGGTCAGGGGTATTCAATTCTGGTCCTGGAGGGCCAGTACAATATGTTTTCGTTTTGATTCTGTTTCAACCCACCTGCTTTCAATCAGCAGGTGATTAACAGGCTTCTGCAGAGCCTGATGAGCTGCTGTACAGGTGATTACACCTGAATCAAGTTGGAGCAGAGAAGCCACTAAAACATGCTGGATACCGGCCCTCCAGGCTTGGAATTGAATACCCTTTCTTTAGGTTGATAATCCCATTTCACCAACCAGAAAGTAGTTTGAATTTGAGGCTATCTTGCTTTTCTGAGAGGCCATTTTAAAGTTTTAGAGCTTGTCTGATTCAGAAGGTTCTGCGTTTTCTTCACCTCTCGATTGAATGCTGTTTGACTAGAGCTGAACAAACTTGAAGATGAGATGGCGAAGAGGTTAACTATTGACTGACTAGTTTTCAAATTACATATTTTATTGAAAATAGTGAAAAGCAGGGGTAAGGAGTTTGCCCTGCAATCGGTGGGTTGTGGGTTTGAAGCTAGGCTTCGTCTCTGTCAGTTGTTGTGCCCTTGGGTAAGACACTTCGCCTTCCTTGGCTGCTGCGGTGGCTGGAGGGACCGTTAACACCTGTGTATGGCAGCCTCACCTCTAATATTGTGTCCCAGGGCAGGTGTGGCTACATGGTAGCTCATCACCACCATGGTGTGAATGGTTGGATGGTAAAGCCCTGTCTTAGAAAAGCGATAAACAAATGTGCAATATATAACATAATATAATTGTAGAATATGTTGTGTTTTTGTCTGATTGCTACAAAGACTTTTTTTTCAGTGTTGAAGAGCAAAAGCATAATTTAGCACTAGAGGTCGACCGATGTTGGTTTTTCTATTACAGATACTGTGCCGATATGTACTGCCGATTTTCATGGCCAGTATCCAGACATTTTCCACTTATTTTCATGCTTATTTGTCACTAATAACATCCGTTGATGGACAAAAATTCAGAAACTGAATTTGTTTTTGAACTCTGTTAAATCTTAACTGTGTGTTAACGTCAGACAGTGGCAGACTGGCCATTCTGGAGAATCCCAGAACGGTGTGTGTGTTCTAGGGCCAGTGTCGGTGTTGATTACTTTGTGTTTATACAAAGATGTGTGCATCTGCAGAAGGCTTCTTCCCTTGTTTATGGCTGTTTATTTAATGTGTCTATAAGTTGTAAACCTAAATGATAGTCATTTTGCAATTGGGAGGGCCACAAAAACCCTGCAGAAATCTGCCTTTATCCAAGTTTCACTAATCAGAAACTAAGTTCAAAGGATGCTGCTATGAGTCTACATTAATCCAGTCCAGGTTTGAAGTACGTGTTGTAGTTTTATGATAGGAATAGATTAAAGGTGCTCTTTCTACGGGGGGTATTTGCACATATTTATTTCCACATATGCAGGAAAGATACGACCCCCCCCCCCCCACACACACACACACACACACGCACACACACACCTTACATGCTTAGACGGCTGGACTCATGGAAATATTCCAGGGCTACATTTTCATCCCAGTCTGCCCCTGATGTCAGACACCTAAATAAGGTTAATTTAGAGTATTTATTTTGAAGATGTTATTAGTGAACATAAACATACATTTAACTTAAATTCAGCAACAGCACCAGGCTGCCCGAAAATGTGCCTGATTTTAAATCGGCTTTACAAAGGACAGATATCGGCCGGCCAATACATCGGTCTACCCCTAGTTGCACCCCCATCAGAATAATTGGGGTTAAGATGCTTCACTTGGTAAAATGTGCCATTGTCTTTACTAAATAATCAAAGTATAGCTTGAATCATCTCTACGGGCAATGGCTTTGCTGTTTCACTTATTTCGCACCTTGCTGTTGTCCATTCCAATTTTCTGGAATAAGGGTCATTAGTTATTTGATGCTCTACATTCTGAGCGTGCAGACACGTGTTCTAACAACAGGACGGTGCTCGTAAATGCACTTTAATGGCTTTTAATACAGAAGAAACCAGAGGAGTATGTTCGCGGTTTTAATGCAGACGAAGGAGCATTAGGAACACAGTGGTAGGGCATGATGTACAAACCTGCTGCATGATTTATTGTAACAGATCAACACGTGTTAAAACATGTCACCTACTTCATTAACCCTGAGTCACAGTTGAATTTTGACATCAGTGATTCACTCAATTGTATTAGAAGCCAACCAAGATTGTATTTTATTTATTCTGTGCTGTTGGGACTTCCGCTGATTCTCCTGCTCGTGCCAGGATAAACTATGACAGACTGCTTTTATTCACTTCCACTCCCGTCATGATTATCACAGAGTGAAACTGCCTGCTGTGCATCCACCAAATAACACTGCCCCCTGCTGGTTGTAAACACCCAAACTGGAGAATAAAATGAATATTTTAGTGATGTTCAGTTTCGTTTGTCAGAGGGTGTTTTTTTCTTTTTGTTTGTTTCTTTTTAAAACGATTTTATAAACTCAATCCCAAATGTGTGATGTGGAAATAGATCCGATTCAGTTTGTAACAAAAGAATCTGCAGCCATCTAAATGTTACATTTGGTACTTTCTGTTCTGCTAAGTTACTTTTGGAAATTTCTTTCATGTGTTTGTTTGTTTAATAGAAGGAAATATAATTGAATTCCATTAATCTGATGAAAGTATAAAGAAATAAACATGCACATTCCTTATCTGTTAGTTACTTGGGCATCTCAGTGATGTTGTTCTGTTTATTTTTGTACATATTTTTAATTACAAAACAAATCATTAGCTCAAATAAGGTCAAAAATGATATTTGAGTTATCACCTTTAGCCATATTTTGTAAAGATTATATAAATATAGCTAATTTAAACCTTGCGAAAGCTCATTTGTAGAGTAATTGTTGAATTTATTAATAACATTCCTGTTGAAACAACGTTTTTCCAGCCAGAGATCAAGTTTCAGTTTTTAGGAACGAAGTGTGCAGAAGATGGGTGTTTTATCTTTAATCGTTTTTCAGTAACAGCCTCTTACAGGGTTACAGCAATGGTGGTACCAGCTGCCTTCCATTAAATAATAAAGACAAATAATCCAGCTGTCAAATACAGAAAACAGATCCTAAAACAGTCTCCCCCCTAAATGAGGTGTTAATTTGCTTTCTCACACATGCTCTAAGCTCCTATCCTATTCTTGTGTTGACTTCAGCTGAATACAGGTCGTGTGCTGTTGACTGGACGAACGACTGGAACATCTGAAGCTAACTGTGCCTTACTGTGTGTTATATGCTACCTGAACATCATCAGTGGTTGAACCATCAGGTCTAACATCTGTCCTAGCTTGATTTTCTGTTTGCATCTTAACTAACAAGTCAGAAGGTGTAAATCTAATCTTAATATTTATTCCTCATAAAATGAAAGACTCTATGCTGCAGTGCCACAGCATTGTATGAATGGGTTAAGAAGATGTCTGTGTGTGTGTGTGAACACACTGTAGAGCAGTAGTGGTGTCGCGTTCTGACCTCTGTCCTCTGTCCTCTACTTTGTCTTGGCTGTGAATTCCATCGTGTTGCATTGAACCGTTTCTCACCTGACCCTCCGTCTCTGCCTCTCCAACTATTATGTTGGGTTAAGAAGAAGCTCTCACTTGTCGCTCCAGACAAATAAAGTAAATACTCATATAAAGAACTGATGCTGTGGTCTTTTCTCTGTGTTGACTGGTGTTTTAGTAAAACTGCCACACAGTGTCACAGGCTTTTGAGTTCATACACAAACATACTCTAAGAAAAGGCCGTGGGTAGCGACCAGTCGTTTGTTTCAGATTAGACATCCAACTTGATTGTTTTAAAACACATATATGCCATTTGTTGCAAAACTAACACCAAATAGGAACGGATAGAAGATCCTACAACCTAAACATAAACATTAATTCAATCTGCTTCCTCAAGTTCTGAACCAAAGCACTTGTTGCCTTTTCTTGCAGTATTTTTGTTTTGGGTCTTTAAAGGCCAATCCTAGAAATCAATCAATCAATCAATCAAATTTTATTTGTATAGCACCTTCTACAACATTATCCGAAGCCCAAGGTGCTGAACAACATCATTAAAAGAAAAACATTCTCAATACATGGGCATAAAAGCAGGATAAAAACATAAAATCATAAAATAGCAAGCAAGACAGACCGTAGCAGTGACAAAAGATTTCTGCCTTGCAGGTTTGTCTAGCCACGCTCCATTGGAGCCTCAGCAGGTCTATCATTGGTCTGAGCAGTTTTGTGTCTTGCCAATCACAGTGTTCTATCAGTTTGGTGGGTGGGACAATGTGACTGAGTGAAACTAAGGCTCCATGCCAACACTTGCACTGTGCTCTACGACCTTCTGTGAAGTGCTCTTGGAGGAAGTGCACAGCAGGGTTCGAGTGCGCCAAAGTCTGACAGGAAGCATTGTGTCATCAATCGTGACGCATGCTGGATGTTGGTCACTGTTTGTGCCACTTTAAAAAAAATCTTTATCAACTTTCAAACAAATAAACATGGCTGGCCACCTTAAACCTTAGTGAATAGAGTATAAAATGCACTGGCTCCCAGTTGAGTATCAGGTTATGTTTAAAACCGTGCTGTACGTGTTTAAGGCCCTACAGGGCACTCCCCCTAACTATCTTTCCTCACTTCTCCATAGACACACACCCTACAGGGCCTTGCACCATCCCTCCAGTCTTTGAAGTCTCGTTTAACGACACACTTTTACCAATTGGCTTTTTCACGCTGAGTCACAAGTCAGTCTTAGTTTTATTGCGATTTTATTCTTTGATTGTTTTGCATTTTTTGAAGTTCACTTTTATTTTTACTTATTATACCGTTTTGATTGTCTGAGTGTTTTTTATATTCTTTTACTATGCTGTTGCTTCATTTTTTATTGTGAAAATATACAGCACCTTGCCTACTACAAAAATAGTGGAAGGTGCTATAGAAATTAATAATGATGATGATGATGATGATGACGAATAAATGTCATTAATTGTCCTGAAATGATATTTTTCAGATTGGGTACTTGAGCCATTGCTCTGCCTTCTTCTTAACAGTCCCCTGCAGCAATGGATTGTGGGTAATACCCTTGCCTGAAGGAAGCCCATAGATAAACTGATTGGCAAGGTAGTTAATAATAGTTAGTTAATAATAATTTTGTAAGAATAAGCTTATTACAAACGTTTGCTGCCCACCAACCTCATAGTTGTATTTCTGCATTTCAACCAGGAACAAACAGCCCAACAACCTGACCCATGTTGAGGAGAGTTTATGATGGCGCTACCTGATGAATTCTGGTCTTAGGCTTTGGTGCTGCCATGTGCATCAGTGATAGCTGGACACCCTCAGGCAGAGTCTAAGGCTAGATTTTAATGGGACAGTAGGGTCACTTGGCAAAGATACAAAAATAAACCTCTTCAGTCAGGGTAAAGGGTTGCATAAACATACATTCTCTTGCACATTTCAGCTGTGACAAAGATGAATTGTGATGACAGTAGTACTATTTTACAAAAACGTGTCGCTATGGCATTTAAAAAAATAGTGTCTTATTTTTTTATGGTTATAAATTCATCCACATCATCAGTTCCAAAGGTTTTTATTGATTATTATGTTAGGTTTACACAGTATGAAGTTGGGTCTTTGGCAGATTATTCCTGAATTATCATTTTCATTATTCAGAATTTGACAGAATTCACGGGATTTGATTTGTTCACTCACCTCTTGATGATCAACCACAATAGAAAAGAAAGTGTTCATTACCAGACTGCTCTTGGATTGTTGGAAGAGTTCCTCTGGGAGGATGTTTAGGAACCATTCTTTATTCATGGCAGTTCTGAGGCTAACCTGTGAAAGAAAGATGTAAAGATGTACTTTGGTGGTGATCAATTGAAATTTCATGAATTACTGTCGTCATTCGCTGCCAGCATCACTGATGCAAAGAAAGCTTTTTACACTGACAAAATTCTCAGCTCTACTGACTCTCAGAAACTATTTTCGACAGTTCAGCTCCCAGCTTTAGTCCGTGAGGCAGACACTTTGTCTACTTTTAAGACTAGGCTTAAAACATTTTTATTTGATAGGGCCTATAGTTAAAATCTGATGTTAGCTTAAATCTGGACAAGTGGGGGAGTACAGGGAGGTGGAGTGTACAGTCGGTAAAGACGGCTCTCCCTTGCCCTGACTCCAACATGCCTACATCTAAATAGGATAGATTATCCAGAGTTATCTCTGTAGTTATGCTGCTATAGGCTTAGACTGCTGGAGGATACACTGGCCACTTTTCACACTCAACTACTTTCTTCTACTATCTGCTCTTTAATTGTACTATTTTCTGCAATTTCAGCTGTTAACTTTATTTTCTCTGTAAGTGGTTTTCTCCCCAGAAGAAGCTACAATGACGTTCTGCTGAGCTGTGGTGGCCTCATGGAGGGGGCTATCGTCTAGCACACTGCTGCTAACCACTTAAACATTCTCCCTCTCCTGATAATAACTTTTTGCTTTCCTTGACGTTGGATGTGCTACTACTAGTTTACCCGTTTAATTATAGATTCACTAAGATAAATACAATAAAGTTTATCTCTCACCAAATAGAATATTTACTAAGACATCACAATATTACTATAGACACATTACTTGTCTTTGTGTGTGTGCGTGTGTGTGCGTGCGTGCGTGCGTGTGTGTATGTGTGTGTGTGTGTGTGTCTGCTCTGTCTTCTCGATCCCCAGTGAGTCATGGAGGATGGCTGCTTATACTGAGCCAGGATTCTCTGGAGGTTTCTTCCTGTTAAAAGGGAGTTTTCCTCTCCACTGTCGCTTTATGCTTGCTTAGTATGAGGATTGCTGTATAGTCACTGACTAGAGTCAGTGACTTGATGCAATTTGCTGGGTTCCTTATATAGGAAACATTATTTCTGATTGGCTTAATGAACTGACCTGAATTGGAATGCTTATTATGTGAAGTGCCTTGAGACGACTCTTGTCGTGATTTGGCGCTTTATAAATAAACTTGAATTGAATTGAATTCAAAACTCTGCTCAACCCTCCGTCTCCACCTCCTACCAACAATCCATCAGCTGACACCTTTGCCTCATTCTTCACTGACAAAGTGGCAGTTATAAGCAAACAGTTTATTCAACTGGCCACACCTGAATATTTGCTACCACAATCTCCTTCAAGCCCAACCATCTCAAGCCCTACTGCTTCATCTTCCTCTTTTTCCCCTCTCACTGAGAACTGTGTGTCCAAGCTTCTCACGTGCAGCCACCCTACTACATGCCCACTTGACCCCATTCCGACTAAGCTGCTCCAAGCTATTGCTCCGACAGTAGCCGCAGCAGTCACACATGTGATCAACGCTTCACTGACATCCGGTACATTTCCCACATCTCTCAAGCATGCTCAGGTTAAACCACT